AAGATAATGAAAAGGAGTTACTGATCTATTGAACTTGATTGTAATTTTCATTGGGAGCTTGCCCTTCCCCTACCAGCATTTGGGCTGAGAGAATTGCATAAACTGGTTTTAACCATATGTTGAAGAATTTAGTTTTTTTAATGTGATATCATGAATTATATAAATTTAATGTATTGATATAGCTGTTATGCAATTCCTAGTTTAACATAGGTTTTAACAGTTTACATCCGTTGCTACAAATGAAAAATAATGAAAAAAAATTCACCAACGTAAAAACTTTGTACTAGTAGATGAAAGTGAATCGTTTTCTATGTAGAATTAAATATCTAATTATCTTTCGTTAGGGCGCTCGACTCGCAATCTGCGGATCGCGGGTTCGAATCTCCGTCACATCAAACATGCTCCCCCTTTCAGCCGTGGGTACGTTATAATGTGACGGTCAATCCCACTATTCGCTGGTAAAAGGGTAGCTCAAGAGTTGGCGGTGGGTGGTGATGAATAGCTGCCTTCCCTCTAGTCTTACACTGCTAAATTAAGGACGGCTAGCTCAGGTAGCTCTCGTGTAACTTTGCGCGAAATTCATAATAAACCAAACTCTTTCGTTAATTAACTAATTCTTCTGAATTAAATGCTTTCTATAACCATAAATAGTTTACGACGTTTTGGTTGTAAGTTAGTAGAAGACAAACCTTAAGGTGTAGTTGTAGAAGTAGTGAGGTGTTCTGTTCCAAAATTTTCACATATATATTTAAATAAACACATTTTATAAGTAAAATAAATAAAAGCACGTGAAATTAACCCCGTTTTTAAAAAAGGGTAACTCTTTAGTTATCAATCTCTAGTTAAAATGTGCATATTGAAGTTAGTAAACGAAATGAATGAATTAAATTTTAACTAAAATGATTCTAATGACTTAGTAATTTCTGTCTTAACAAATTTATTCGTACGGTTTTACTGAAATAATGAAATACAGAAAATGTTTGCACATTCACAAGTATTGCAAATCAGCCGAAAATGACATGTTTACGTAATACAGTGTCAGTGCTTTTTGACTGTAAGTTTGTCGAACTTTCTAGGAGTTTAAGTAATACTAATAGTGAAACTTAAGTAGCACTATAGAATTTGTTTATTACAACAAAAGCATAAAACCAAATTTATTCGCTATTTATAGAGTTAATAAAGCTGAGCTTTAATTTTTGTAAGCTAACGGACATTCAAAACTCATATTTTAGGCATTTTCTAAAATTAAACGAATTGAAATTTTAGCCACAACTCAACATGATACACCAATATGAATCATGCTCTTAAATCTAGACAATACTAGACTTCTGAGATTTACATGGGATAATGTGTAACACACATTAACGCAGTTAAATTGATCATAAGTACATGAAATGTCTTTCAACAAAATTATTGAATGAGTAACTGTATGTTGAGGTACCGTGGCTAATCATGAAGGCTGTATTATGTGTTTTAGGGAAACCCTTCATAATAATTATACATATATAAAGCATGCTTGTGATTTACTTGTATTATTGCAGCAAAATACTCTGTAACAGTGATGAACAGTAATACATAATGAAATCCAAAAATATATAAATATAGTTTGAAATAATAACATTTCGAGAATTAAGCATCATTCACTTTCATGACTACTTATGCTTATGTGTTTTTATATGTTTTTATTCACCCACAACATACATGTTTCCAGGCATATTATTATCAAACAAAGTTAGTTTATAAAGTAACACATCTTTTACTTTTGCCTATAACTGTAATGCAGTGTATCTATTTTACTATACTTTTTTCATGACTTGGTTTCAACTTTCAAGAGAAAATGAAAAACTGTCAGTTTTCGAGTGAACACAATCTTAAACCATTCAATAAAAATCCTGTAATTCAAGCCCCTGTTGAAGTTCTAGGTTTCAAAATGCTCAGGTTATAGGGTTTATCTTTTCTTATTTTTTCTCTGGCATTCACTATATCCTCAATCTCCTTAAAGAGGTTAACAGTAGTAAAACATTAATAAACATATTACAAAATTGCAGCAAAGATTGCAAAAATAAAATTTCATACGATTCAACTTCCATTGCAAAATTAGATATTTTAAGAATGTTGCAGGTACACATTCACATAAAGAGTTAAGACTGTTGGAAATATGTCTAGTTCTATAACCAATGTATGGACCTGGATTTTTTTAACTCAAAGTACTAACCAATCCAAATATTTTATATATTGCTAATGTTGTTCCACAGACATTAGGAAAAATAAGTGCACTCATAAAAGACTTTACATTTCTCCATTATACACATGATAATCATACCACTGTTTGTTAATGTCACTTAAAATTAACTACATTAATTCATCAGGATTATAGCAGTGGTTTTGACTGTGCAACACAAAGCACTTTTTGTTTCTCTGTTAAACTGTAATTAAGTGTTAACCGATTAAAATTTCTTAAATTTTACATTATTATCAAGTTACATTTGAATAGATAAATATATATCTTAAATAGAGGACAATTGGCAATCCAGAATAACTGATAACTTACAGTTATTGCTCCTCAGATTCACAGTTTAGTCTGTGAGTCAGTTGCAAATACTATGTTGGTGGCACTGTTAATGCAGAGGGAAGCTTGCTTTATGACATTCATCTCCATCCTTTTGGTGTTTGTAAGAAGCTTGAATGCTCCATCAGCTTTATGCATAATATTGTTGCTCCATAAGGTGATTAATACCTAATCAGCTCTTTCACCAAACCATATTTTGAAAATCGGTCTAAAAGGTGATTTGTTTCAGTCAATCATATTGATTTTGAAGGTTAATGTCAGCACTTTAGGTGATCTCTGAAACAGCTAAACTGTTTTATTATTGGCTTTGAGTCACTTATAGCATTATTTTCATCAGCTGTGCTGAGACTATAACACATTGACTCTACCATCCTCAAATATTGTTAATCTCTTTAATATACGACTCTTATTTCATTCAGTTCACGAGAGACCTTTTAGTAGCATTAATTTGTCAGTGTGATTTCATACATCTTGTGAATGCTGCACCTCATCATAGCTCTTGATGTACAGTTACTGTACTCATCTGTTTTTGTAAGTCAGTTGTTGCTATTTTACCTAATATGCTATGATGTATAGCAAGTCCCTGTCAGTTCGTCCATAATTTCGAACTCCTGCAAACATATGCTTAACAGTATATATAATTCATTCAACCAAACTACGATTGAGGATATGGTGAAATGTGCCCAACACTATGAACAGCTGGTTATTGAAGTTTGCTCCTTTTTGGGTACTTCAAATTGTGTTGTCTATTTAACTTATCAGTGATGGAATGTTTCTAAGTGTTGACCAGTTGTTAAGCACATTTTCACTTTGTGAAGTAATTATTATTGAACAGCAAATATAAAGTGACCATTTTCTAAGGACTACACACACACACACACACACACACACACACACACACACACACACACACACACACACCCCTCTTAACATTTTGACATGAATGCATGAACTTCAATTCTTACATAATGTAAATGCAAAATTATTTCCTGTCTTAGAGATCCTGGTACTACCAGCTGCATCACAGACTGGGCATCATGTTTCGATTAATTAGTTACAGCAATACAGCTCAGCATCCTGTATTTGTAAGTATTGCACGTTTCACGAGTCCATGTTTAGTTTACTGACCTGCAAAGCCTGTGCTTCAGTTTTGTTCCAAGTAGTGCCCAAGCTAGATTTGGATTCAGAATTCTTCTTGAAGCTTTTAGTTTGCCACACATGAATTTTTATTCACTAATAAAACCAACTCTGCCTGCATGACTTGTCAGCACTGTTATAGTGATGTGCATCTCTGTCCAGGATTTTAACATTCAACAAACAGACTTGTGGATGATGCAAGTGGATCCAAGTGGATGATGCATCAATGAAATTGCTTAAATTTCAAGTTGGAAGGTATATACAAATAGTTGTGTAGCATTTAATAAATATTACAGCTTCAAGCAATTTGTTGTACAGTATCAGCATTTAGAAACTATCTTGTACCTGTTACACCACTGATTTGGTTTTATTATCACAAGTATTGGTATCAAGGATGAATGGAAAATCTTACTCAGGATAAGCTAACATAAGAGTGTCAACTAAAGCATACTATAATAACAGAACTACTTGAGCATGCTCATACAATATAGATATTGGCAAAAAATGTTGACAAAATCTAGGAACCTGCAAACTTCTTTATTTCATCACAATGTGATGTCAGTCCTTAGTCACTGTGTTTTTGTAGGAGGGGTGAACATCCTGCCCCTGCCAACAATGTGACTATGGAATAAAACACAAATGAAGCATTTCTTCCAGTGTAACCACCTCAGTGTAATTCCATCTGTCTTTGAAAAGTGTAAGGTGTATTACACAGGCTGAATTGCATGTTAAAAAGACACAAAAGCAATATGAAAATTTTAAATCGAACATAAGTAAGCTTTTCTTAACTAGTTTGGCTTACAAGTAGCTAGATACCAAGTGTAGCATGTTGAACCAATGACTGCTGTCCAGCACATAAGTAAGCTTTTCTTAACTAGTTTGGCTTACAAGTAGCTAGATACCAAGTGTAGCATGTTGAACCAATGACTGCTGTCCAGTGCTTCCAGACATTCATCTACGCATGGTACAGAGAGAAACATTTCTGTGCATGTGAATACACTAACCTTCTTAAAGTCAACACAGAATCTTGGTACTGACTGGCAAAGTTGTGTTGGTTCAATCAGGGTACTTGGTATATAATAAGATCCAACAAAGTTCTGGCAGAATCAGTCTACCAAAAACTCAACCTTACATCTAGTATCTTTACAGACACAGACCAAGGCATGCCCAATTCAAGAGGAACAGTGCTGGCAACAATAATTTTGGATGCAAGCATACTGCTGCACTTGGCTAGCTGTATCCTTATGTTTTTGTCATTTTGGTTGATTTAATCAAGAATCTTATTTCTTTACAGTCTATGCTCTCCAAGCTACGAATCGCCATAATTGGACAAAGCACATTTGCTAGTGGTGTATATAAATTGTTACGACAAGATGGTCATAAAGTTGTTGGAGTTTTCACTGTGCCTGACCAGGGCAATAGAGAAGATCCTCTGGGTAAGGTTTTTTCATTAAAAATCTGTCTTTTGTACTGTGATGTTAACAAACATTTTTAAAGTTGATATTGTGTTTTGAACTGTAATATTCGTTTATTGTAATATTTCTAAATTTGAATCATGAGAATTTGTTTTATAACTAAGTTAATGTTCCATACATTATTCAAACATGGATTTACTTAGTGAAAACATTGAAAATGAAAATATAATATTAAATGAGTTGATTATAATACAGTATCTTTCTTATTAAAATTAGGTTATTTGTTTCAGCTTCTGTTGCAAAGGAGGATAGTATCAAAGTCTTCAAGTTCCCAAGGTGGCGGCAGAAAGGAAAAGTGTTACCAGATGTACTAGACCAGTATAAATCTGTAGATGCTAATCTAAATGTTTTACCCTTTTGTACTCAATTTATTCCAATGGATGTGATCAACTACCCTGAAAACCAGTCCATTTGTTATCACCCCTCTCTGTTACCCTGCCATCGAGGAATGTCTTCCATAAACTGGTAAAAATATACTTTGTTTTTCAGAAAGTTTTATAACACACTATAGCATGTGACCTAATTTTTCCTTATTATTACTATTTACCATCTGAACATCCAACTTTAATACCTTTTTTAAACACAGCTTAATAAGGCCAGGGTAATTCATAATTTGTTTTCAAAATACCATATTGTTGCGTCAGCGAGGTTACGTGACTAGTATCACGCCACGTCTTTCTCGAACCTTCATGAATTATCGGGAGACTACTAGATTGGGGTATTCTGGTATATGTATATATATAAGACGGTCACAACGTTACGAACACAAAAGGTAATGAGTGATTGAACTGCAGTCAGAGAGTGTGTAAATGAACTGAGTATTGTCGAGAACGAGCACGTGAGATGTTCTTCGAGCATTATAGCATTTGTTATAGAGCGACTGTTGAAATTAAGTGTATCGGTAAAGTTGTATTCGGAAAGAATAAATCGGTTTTATTTAAGAAAGGACTTGTGTCGCTAAAGTTTCGTTGGAACGAATTTACGGAAAAATTAATTAACGAACGAACAGAGACGTAACAATATGATAGAATGTCATTCGCCACATTTAGTGAGTGTACTGTCTTGTTTGTTAAGTATTTATTAACTAATAAAGTTAACATTACTTTTACATTATCAATTTAGGTCAGTCTTTCCAAATGTATGGTATATTACTGTGTATGTTTTTGCAGGACCCTCATACATGGAGATAAAAAAGCAGGATTCACAATATTTTGGGCAGATGATGGATTAGATACAGGACCAATTCTACTTCAAAAAGAGTGTGAAGTTTACCCTGATGATACAGTGGACTCTTTGTACAACAGGTTCCTCTACCCTGAGGGCATGAAGGCTATGGTATATCACTCATATTTTGTTGATTATTTTCATAAGCTCATATTGTCTGAAAAGTCATTGCATGAAAGAAACTATGGGAAAACCTCAACATTTTCAATACTCGTATGTTTTTTTCATAATAATTTAGCTCAAGTTTGTTTTAACTATCATTTTAATAAAACAAGAATCAGTGAATTTCAATAAACTTAGCATATCACTTGAGTTGCTTGTTTTGATATTGACATTACTTGAAGTACAGACCTTTTTAAAGAAAGACTCTATTATTGAAACTATAAATAATCTCAGCTGGAGGCTTCCTTACTAAAACTACAAACATGTTTAAAATAGACTTGCTTGTTAAGAATACAGACATCCCCCAAAACAGATATCCTTATTGAGACTGCAAACATGCTTGTAACCAACCATGATGAAGTTAGAAACATGCAGAAAACAAATATCTTTGTTGAGACTACAAAAATGCTTAATAACAGACTTGTCATTAAAAACACACACTCAAAGACAGATGTATGATTAAAAACGTTCCCAAAGACAAATGTCTTTGTCATTACTTGATGAGATTACAGAAATGTTTGAAGACAAACTTCCTTGTTGAGATTGTATTGCAGAGACATTGTTCTACATATATTTAAAGTGTTCCCTACTCAAACAAATGTGTTCAAAGAGCTTGTTTAAAATATTAGTTAGAAAAAGGTAGAATACCTGTACTAGCACTGTCTTATTTCCCTTTAACTCTGGTTTTGTCTTTAAAATTGTTTTTTTTTTGCTTGTTGATTAACCTTTCTCAATATAATTCCATTCCAGCTTTAGTAGAACTCTGTGTTCAACATCCTGTCTTCTTACTAATTGTGTTCGTACTTTTGTGACATTTTGGGGTGGAATAATTACGTGCAGGTTACATTTTAGCAGCTTCTCTTATTCCAGGCTTGGATTCTTTGGATTTGAAGTTTGGTATGAAAATAACACAGAAGAGTTCACAAAGTTTATGAAGTTGCATGAACTGTATTTGTGGATCATGGGCTTGACAGTTGGAGAATTAGCAGAGTTAGTGGAAGGTTAGGCACTAATTGTGTTTTGGCAAGGTCTATATATTTAGTTGATTACAATAATCTAAATTTTCCTAAAAATGAACAAAAAAACAAACAAATCTGAATGAACATCCTAGAATTCCATAGCTGTTGAGCTTTGTTTTTTTGCAATATATAGGCAGAAGCTGTCAATATGGTTGCTAATGGTACTGCCCACAGAATTCCTCAGTCAGAAGAAGGAGCTACATATGAATCAGCTTTGACTAAGAAAGAATTATCTGAGGTTTGTTTGATACTTGTACTGGTTGATGTTAAATATAGAATAACAAAAAATATACACACATTATGTGTATTATTTAATCATTATGTAATTATTGTCATTTGTAAAAAATGCAATTTTCTTTATAAGTAAGTTGGACTTCATTGAATCATGATCACATTATGTGACAAAATATGATTTATTTCCCAAATGACAGGGTTACATAGTATTATTAAACTGGATGTGGTAACAGTTTCATTACAAAAATTAAGGTTTTTATCTCAAACTCAACCTTTTAGGGAAAACAGCTGTCCTATTTTTCAAATGATAATTTAAGTTGTTAATGATATATGTAAAGCCTATTATGCTGACCATAATATGATCACACTTTTCAAACTAATTGGAATCTGTAGATATTCACTGAATGGGACAGTGCAGATAGCCTTGTAAGCCCCAACCAACCAACTGTATAGTACTGAAAATTGGAACTTGCTGTTTTAGTGAATGTACAATTATTGGTTGTGAAATACAACCAAATTTATGAATGTTTGTAAAAAACACAAATTATTATTATTATTGTTTGTTTGTTTAAGATCAAGTTTGACCAACTAAATGCTGAACAGCTGCACAATTTTATCAGAGGTATGGATAAAGTTCCTGGAGCCTGGACACATTTGAATGGGCAGGTGAGGCAAAGATTGTATATGTTCTTGGATTATATACATGATTCTTATAGATCATAATGTTGATTTTAAGTGGTAAAACATTGTTAAAATAACTAATTGAATGTGATATTAGAATAATATTAATAGTTAATGGTTTCTTAATAAACCAGCAATTACTGTTTTATTTAGTGTGTTATTAAGTTTTAGGAATTTCTGTATTTTGACAGTAATGATAAAGAACATACTTAAATGTTTTTATAACGTAAGCATCAAGTTATATGCTGAACTGACCTGATTAAGTTGCGGGCTCTGTATCAGTTAGTAAGCTCTTTTACTTATTCATTATTGGCTGTAGTTAAGACTTTAAATGGATGACTTCATCACACTCACATGAGACGGGTTCATTTGATTTATTTGGTGTCCTTATATTTGCTTATACTTCAACTTGTATGTCCAACTATATCATGATAGATCCCATATAACTTTGTTTGCAACAAAAACAAGTAAATTGGTAAACAACATTTGATGGTTTCACTGGAAAATATTCTGGGTATATATATCTTAAAAAATACTGTTAATAACATCCTGGTTTAAAATGCACCTTAACTCTTTAAACCCATAATTTTTTTTGTGCATTCTCCTAGAATTATTTTTATGATTTCCTAACAATTATAACCATATCTTATGAAACTTAATTTTTTATTTTACTTTGGGGTAATAACATGGTTTGGATTAGTTTTCAGACAAAGAGATGTAAATGTTATCAGACGTTGTTACCATGTATTGGGTAAATCAGGATTTTGGCTGGACATTGGGAGCATCTGCTCAGGTTTAAGAAGTTAATTGTGTATTCAGGTACACTTTTTGATAGAGGGTACACAACTGTTTTTTTTCTTGTACATACCATGCATGCTTACCAGTATACTGTAAAGTTATAAAATTAAGCACTGAAAAGGTCTACCGTTCAATATACGCAAAGGTTATAGAATTTTGTTTTTTGTGTTAAACACTTAGGAACTTCACATTTTGGTAGATTTATGAAGCTTTATTTATTCAAATAGCAACAAAGTATTCAATCTAAAAAAAAATAAAAAAACAAACTTTTTTGTAGAAGAATCTCTATAAAAAAACAAAAACAAAAAAAAACAACTTTTTCTTTATGGGACACTTCACTCAAAACCACTATTACAATTATGAACTAATGTAGCTAAGAAAGCATGTGATCTGTGATATTTACTCTTTAGATACTACAAGAACTGGTGAACATGATTAGGATCCTTAGATAATAAAAGTTCCATCAAGATATCTTCCATAATCTAATGGTTTAAGAGCCTGTGGATGTTTCCTCCATTCATTGTTTTTCATAAAAACAGAGCAAGATATTAGTCACAGAAGTCAGTTTAGAACCCATAGTAACACCATCAATCTAATTATAAAGGCCACCATTAATCAAAATTATATTCTTTAGTGAAACTCTGCCTTCAAAGAACAAATATTAAAATAAATAACTCATTTAAATTACTCCTAAAAAATATTAGTATGATGCTGGTCGCCTATATATATATATATATATATAGTAGAGTAAAAAAGGTAAAAGTTAGACTGCGTGTGAGTTTAGCCATAACGGGTAATTTCTAAAGTGAGTTTCACAGCTTATATTGTTGTTGTTGGCAGATGACATAGAGATGGGGAAGAAATCATTAATGCCTAAGGCTAGCGTTAGACACAACCAGTAGAGTCTAGGAAACATGGAAGTGGGAAAATGAAACAGAACATAATGATAACTGTAAACAAAAGTTTAAGAAAGTTTAGATCAGTACAAATAAATAAAATAAGGCTAGCTTTGCCTCTTTCCAGGTCAATACAAACTACGAGTATGAACGAAAATACATATTGGCAGTGTGTGTGTTTGTTTGTACCTGTGCAGCTCTCAGGCATTGTGTATGCTTTATAGTATAGTAGTGTGTGAGAGTTTTGATGAGAGTCTAATCTTACTACAGGTTGTACTTTACTCTAATTGGTGGGCAGGCCAAGCTGGTTAGAATGAAAACATTAATGCAATTGGCCAAGATCACTGTTCTATTTAAAAATTTTACAGGTCATTGACTGTTTGTTTCTTTAAGATACTATGTAACATTAGCATGACTTGGGCTTATTTTTTCCAATGTAATGAAACTTCCCAGGAAATAAGGCATCAAAAGTTAGTTGAATAGAGGTGTAATATTGCCAACTAATTGGTGGAACAGTAAGAAAGTTTCCCCTAGGAGACCTTGAGGCCACGTGTATGAAGGCACCCATCTATGACTTGGTGATTGGAAATATACCAGGCAGTAGAAGTTTGCAGGAACCAGCAGAAAGAAGACTGATGAAACATCTGCAGTTACCACTAGAGCTCAAGAAAAGAAAAGCAAGCCAGGAATCAAGCCACTGAAAGTCTTGAAAGGTGACATCTTGAATGTAGGTCTACAGGAACTGAAGGAAGCACAGAAGAAAGACCCTTCACTGTGAAAACTTTGGGACAGTGTCCAGGAGAAAGTCAAGCACAAGACAATGGGGAAAGAGACTTACAAAGTAGAGGACTGGAAAGGAGTACTGTACTGGATATATCAAAGCAGTTCTACTGAGGAAACTAAACATATCAAATGCAGTCAGAAGCACTTCTATGATAAGAAGGCCAAGGATCAAGTTTCAGGGTCGGACAGAAGGTTTTAGTTCCACTATACACAGACATCAACAAACTCTCCCTGCACTGGAAAGGACCTTTTGAAGTACAGGAAGTTCTCAACAGAATGTGAAAGTAGATGGGATAACCAAAGTCTACCATGCCAATCTGTTGAAGAGGTACTTTGAGAGGGAAGAAGATTTAATGAGGCACAGATGGACATGTCAGGTACAGCTGTCATAAATGCAGAACCAGAAGACAGTGACTTTGTCATAGAAGATGAATACCTACTAGACCTAAGACCACTGGGTGGAGATGAGACATACAAAGATGTCAAAATTAGTGAAGAACTGACTAGCAAGTAGAAGGAGCTACAAGAGCTACTGTGCCAGTTGCAACACAAGATGGGCACCAAGATTGTACTAGATACTAAGCATTACCAGGAAAAATATTATTTAGACATGGTCACTACAGAACTAAAATGTAAATATAGAAAACTCTTTAGGTTATTTAAGATGAGATTATGTAAAATAAATAAATAATGGGGCTTGGAGTAGCTATTGAGTATTGTAATTCATCAGTGTAATGTGAACTGCACATTCCCCAAGTGATGTACAACTTATATAAAATAATAGACACAATTCCAGGGGCAATAAAACAATAAAATGTAAGTATAAATAGATGTGTACTGTTGACAGTTTAAAGCTACTTAAAATAAACAAATGTAGTGTCATGTTACAATTTGAAGTCATTATAGAAAGAAAAAAGGGTAATTTAGATTTATTTTGATTTTTTTTTTTGGTGGTTATCAAGTTGGTCAAATTGACCAACCATGTATAGAATTAGGTGGAGAAAATAACAGATAAATATAAAGTTTTACTGAAAAAGTATGAAGTGTTTTTAGGAGGTTTATAGATTGTGTAAATGATCAAAGAAAGTATTTTTATTCTTAACATGAAAATCATTTTGCACTCGGACTTGTAAAAAAAAAAAGGCTTGATATATTCACCGCCAAATCTTCAGTAAAAATATTTGTTAATGATAATAAGAGATTGAAAGAAAAAATGGGAAGACATCCATATCAAATGTATTTTATTAAAAATTTGAAAGAGCTGTAAAACATTTTATAGCATGGTTAGCACACACACTATTTATTTTAACTTATCACCCATAGGAACATCTCTCTAGTATGGTTTTTAATGCACTAGAATCACCATGTGCAATAATTTTCCTGCAATGTACACCATGTATTTTCTCACTTTGTTGAAAACTATCAATGATAATGACTGATTCTATTTGTGTAGATGGGCCTAACTAGTTTTTTCAACATTTCTGGGTATTACTATTCTTTACTTGTGTATTACATACACAGCCAGTACAAAACTTATTTCTAACACCTAAAGCAGGGATTTTGTTGGCCTACAATTGTGCCACATCCTGAATTAGCAATTTGTCTGACTTTCATGGTTCATACAGGTTTTGGAAAGTCTTGGAATATTGTGGAAGTAATTTCCAGGGTCTGGTAAGTTTGGGAAAAATGAAAATTTTCTCCTGACAGTATTATAAACCACTGTTTTCTGTGATTTGTTTATTTGATGATTACATCATATAATATCCAATGGTGATGATTTCCTGAGCAAGCCCTTTGTGTTTTCCCTTCGTGATGAGTAGGTGCAGCACATTTGCATTTGTGAATAGCAACTTGAATTACTTTGGCTGTACAAGGTTGAATGAGGCCATCGATGTCTGAGTGTCGCCATTCAAGCAATTATGTAATTGTGGTTCATCCATTTTTTGCCATTATTTTTATGTTCTGTGGTATTGACTTGAATGTGTATTTGTGTAAAACATGCCGGGCAAAAGTACATTTAACAATGCATGGCTTCTGAAGGATGAGTACAGGGAATGGTTTGTTATGGGTGTATTTCGGCAAGTAGCTTATTGCAATGTGTGCCATAAAATGTTCAAAGTTGGCAATATGGGCAAGTTTGCAGTGATAAGCCATATGAAGAGGAAAGACCAGGAGGCTAATGTGCATAAATTACACTTGTCAACAGCAGCCATACCGACCATACACAGTTCGATATCATCTGAATCTAGGGCAATACTAGATAGAACATCGACAGGCTTACTGTTGTGACAAATGAATGCAATGCCATAGTCCAACAAGTAAGTGAATAATATTCATAAGTTAAATTTAATATGAAAGAGAATGAGCTGAATTTCATTGATTTAAATGCACAATACAATTTAATAAAGTTGCATTATTTTGCAATTAGCCTTTGGATGATTCAGTTCTTTTCATTTAGGTCAGCACCTCATTATGCAATTTATTCATTAAGGGGCAGACTGGATTCAC